TGTGTGGTTCTTTTCCGTCTCTGAGTTTGTAACACCGCTGCGCAGACCTCCCCTGAGCTTGTCATTCACACTAAGAAGCAGAAGCGAAAATGCCATCATATGCTTTCTCTGTGCAAACTTGCTGGGAAGAGCTCAAAGAGAAACACGCAGGTGCTTCAGTTGCTTCTCAGAGTTTCCTAAGAAGTGCTCAGAGAGGTGGGAGACCGTATCTGCTAAAGTGAAAGGGACATTTGAAGAAAATGGCAAACTTGGACAAGGCACGCGATGAAAGAGAAATGAAGACTTACATCCCGCCTAAAGGGGAAGCAAAAAAGAAACTTGAGCCCTAGACGGTGTGGCTCAGTGGATAGAGCATTGGCCTGTGGACTGAAGGGTACTGGGTTCGATTCCCGGTCAGGGGCACCAAAAAAAAAAAAAAAAGAAGAAGAAGAAGAAGAAGAAGCTCAAGAATCATAATGCATCCAAGAAGCCTCCTACCTTTTTCAAATGTTTTGCTCTGAGTATCACCCCAAAAATCAAAGGAGAGCTTCCTAGCCTGTCCATTGGTAATATTGCAAAGAATCTGGGAGAAATGTAGGATGTTTAAAAAAAAAAAAAAAGAAGAAGAAGAAGAAGAAGAAGAAGAAAAGAGTCATCAAGCCTGAAAAAGGCAGAAAAAAGAAGGAAGACATGAAAGGTGAAAGGGATGAGGGGCAGGTGTATTACCAGCAGGACCCTGACACCTTGGTTCTTGTCTTCTTAAAGGAAAGATTTCAATCGAGACTAAGTGTAGAAAAGAAAGCGAGAATGTATTGACCGCAGCAAAAACACACGTAAGACAGTGAAACAAGGAAGGGCGTTGGAGCAGCAGCAGGGGAGCCCAGGCTGGGCCACTCTGGCTCACCGGGAAATCAGAGAAAAGGTTCAGGGATGGAGCCCCAGATGGGCTGCCACTGCCCATTGCTCCCTTGGCTGCAAATCTCATGGGGTCCCTTGAAGTTTAAGAGATGTGTCTGGCCAAAACCGGTTTTGCTCAGTGGATAGAGCGTCGGCCTGCAGACTGAAAAATCCCAGGTTCGATTCCTATCAAGGGCATGTACGTTGGTTGAGGGCACATCCCCAGTAGGGGGTGTGCAGGAGGCAGCTGATCGATGATTCTCTCTCATCGATGTTTCTAACTCTATCCCTCTCTCTTCCTCTCTGTAAAAAATCAATAAAAAAATATATTTAAAAAAAAGAAAAGAAAAAAGAGATGTGTCTGTGGGGGAAGGAGAAGGGAAAGGAAATGACACAGGCATGCTCCTGGTTGGGGGGGGGGGGGGGGGGGGGGGGGGGGGGGGGGAGCCTACCAGAAACTTCGGTTTCAGGGTTTTTAAAGGCTTAGCATTTAGGGGAGGTCTTAGGGGAGGATCAATAAAATGTTCATCGGCTTTACGAGGATGTACCAAAACGAGATTGAGTCTCTTAACTTCATGGGTGTGGTTGGCAAATGGCACTAATCAGATTTCTGTTATTTATCTTACTGAGCTGTTTACCCTCTGGTTGGGGAGGAGAAATGCTAAGCATTTACTCTTAAGTGTCCTTGGTTTAGGGAAGATAGGATTTACTATAGTAAACTGCTGTTTAACTATCTGTCTTAGTTTCCCTATTCTTCAGTGTCCTGGAACTTTTCTAACTTCAGACTATCCTACAACGGGAGGAAGATGAAGATGAAGAAGATGATGATGATACGTTGGTTCTAGGCAACTTTTTTTTCTTGTCTATAAAGGATTTACCTACCCTGTGCACAACTCATTCCTTTTAAAGAAAAAAAAACTGAAATGAAAGGCTGTGTAAGATTTATTTGTCTTGTTTTTTGACTACAGGCCCAGAGCATGAATTCATGCATGGGTCGGGTCCAGCAGGCGCGCCCTGATCAGGGCCATTGGGAGTTGGGGGGCTGGGGGGAGGGGCCGCTGGCGGTTGGCTGGCTCCACCCCTGGTCAAATTTCCAGTTGAACTCCAGGTCGAGGGGACAATTTACGATTAGCCTTTTATTATATAGGATTTTTTTAAAAAGATTTGTTTTTAAACTATACAGTGTCTTTTTCTGTGTGTATAGTGAACACACTACTGAATGTCTTTTTTAAAATATATTTTATTCATTTTTTACAGAGAGGAAGGGAGAGTTAGAAACATTGATCAGCTGCCTCCTGCACACCCCCTACTGGGGATGTGCCCGCAAACAAGGTACATGCCCTTGACTGGAATCGAACCTGGGACCCTTGAGTTCGCAGGCCAATGATCTATCCACTGAGCCAAACTGGTTGGGGGTCGAATGTCTTTTTTTAATGGTTTTTTGTTTTATAATCCTCACTGAGAATATGTGTTTTTATTTATTTTAGAGAGAGAGGAAGGGAGAAAAACATCTATCAGCTGCTTCTAACGGGAAATCAAATCTAGACCTAGGTATGTGCCCTGACTGGGAATTGAACCCACAACCCTTCCATGCACAGGACAAAGCTCCAACCAACTGAGCCACATTGTGAGGGCCTGCCCAGATGTGTGTCTGGATAGTCCTGACCTGGTGGTATTTCCAATAGCCACTAACCTTGCCTGGTACAGCATGGGGTTGAAAATTGACACGGAAGTTTAAAGCAGGTTCTTGTTGGCACACAGCACAAATTAGTTACATGTGGGGATGGTAGTTTATTCATCTTCTGTTGTCTCTGATGCAGCTTTTAGGAAATAATTGTTCTCTAAACTGTATACCACTTTAATTACAAAAAAAAAAAAAAGTTGCAGCTGTTTTGTTGACATTATAAATGCTGCTAATACAATCTTCATTAGTAAAAAAGAAAAACTGATCAGTAGTATAAATCTACACAAAAGAAGATATAAAAAATTAAAAATAGCCCTGACCGGGTTCGATTCTGGTCAAGGGCATGTACTGTGGTTACGGGCACATCTCCAGTGGGGGGGGGGGGGGGGGGGGGCGCGGCAGAGGCAGCTGATCGATGTTTCTCTCTCATAGATGTTTCTAACTCTCTATCCATCTCCCTTCCTCTATGTAAAAAAATTAATAAAATATATTTTTTACCAAATCAAGGGGCAGGAAGGGCATGCATATATATAATTTTATACATATTTCCAGAAGTCAAAAAAGGAGGAAATACTGCCCAATTTACGTTTTGTGGCTGGTGTAAAATATCATTTGTAGTAAAGGCTGCTAGCTGCCCCCTTACCTTTTCTCCCCTAATATCTCATAGCAAAAAGGACACTGGATATTTAAATTCAAATAAAGGCCATGCTCCCCAGCCTTTCTTGCAAGGAGGTGTAACCACATGATTCAGCTCAGCCTGTCTGGTCCCTGAGCTTGTGGGTAAGAGAGGAAGGCTTGCCCTTCTCGGCCCTGCCTCTCCCCAGGGAGGCCTCAGGCCGAGCGTCTGTCCCTCTGGGGCCTGTCTGGCTCTAGGCCCTGAAGCCCACGCGCTGGCGGCTGTTAAGAGTCTCTGACCTCCACTAACAGTCAGCGTCCTCCTCAGCACTCTAGGTTTGAGCTCAACTCCTCTAGAAACAGGCCTCTAGCTGGGGTCACGCGCCTTCTCATTTCCTGCCAGCTGTTCTAAAGCCTTGAAAGAATGGACGTGCTGAACTCCAGACATGCACCGGAGCACTGACGGGAGCACAGCCGCTTCTCTCAGGGAAGCAGGAGCTGGACCTGAGGGGGACAGGGCTGGGGTTTGCCCACCCGACACCCCACCACCACCACCACCACCCTCTTCTAAGACAGTCAATGGGGAGGATTGGAACAGGAGGAGCCTCTGGTATTTCACATAGCGTCCCTCACACCTTGGCTTTGAGAACCTTTCTCCTCCGCACCAAGGCCTTGGCTCCTGACTATTCTGTCCAATTCCCCAAGACTCCTTTCTCTCCCCTATTGGATCTGCCCACCTCCGGTGTCCATTCTAGCTCAGTTTACCCGCCCCCAAAGCTTCCCCAGATAGCCCACCCTATATCCCCAATGATCCTATTGCTCTCTTAAAGCAATAGTCTGTCTTCGTGGGGTTTGCTCTGTGCTTCCTGAGGAATGGGGGGGAAGGATTATGTACTGACTCATATATTTTAAGTTGACAGCTAAGATTTTTTTGTCACAAATTTAAATCGTTGCAGAGTGTATAAATCCTGGAATGCTTTAAATATTGTTGCTTTTTAAATAAAACAAGTCTTTTAAATTTGTGTTTGATGAAATCTAAACATCACAATGGTGTAATGCTCTGCATTATCCATTTAAATATGTTAATATTCACCCGGCTCTCGTGGCTCGGTAGTTGAGCATCAACCTATGAATCAGGGTTTGATTCCTGGTCAGAGCACATGCCTGGGGTATGGGCTCTGTCTGGGGGAGTGCAGGAGGCAGCTAATCAATGATTCTTTCTCATCACTGATGTCTCTCTCTCTCTTCATCTCTGAAATCAATTTATATATATTTGTTTTTAATAAATAAATAATCTGTTGTTAAGCATTCAGGTCCCCAGTGCAAAGGGTCATGGCCCCTCTCTCTCTCAGAATTGCAATAAGGTCCAGATGAGACACACTGTCTGAGTCTGGGCTAGGAGGGCCTCAGAAAGGAAGGTCTGCTGGTCCAGGGCTGACAGCACCTGCTGGGATCTAGGACCTCTACTTCTTTCTAAGGTTCCAAAGAATGGAAAGGTGTTTGGTGTGTGTGTGTGTGTGTGTGTGTGTGTGTGTGTGTGTGTTTGTTTTGTTGTTGTTGTTGTTAATCCTCACCCAAGGACATTTTTTCCATTGATTTTCAGAGAGAGTAGAAAGGAGGGGTAGGGGGAGAAAGAAGGGAGAAGTGAGAGAGGGAGAGAGATAAACATCCAGGAGAGAGAGAGACACAGCGATTGGTTGCCCCCTGCACACACCTTGCCCAGGGCCAGGGATGGCACCTGCAACCCAGGTACGTGCCCTCGACCAGGACTCGCTGGCCAGGACGTGTGTGGAAGGGTTTTAATGAGCTTCACAAAGGGACTGGGTGAGGGGGAGACAAATTTCAAATCCAGCCTTTATTGCCATGCTTCAGGGGCTGAGGAGGAGGGAGAAGGCTCCACCCTGCTTATCTCTTCCCAGACCCAGAGGCAGCTAACTGGAGGGCAGTACCTGAAAGTCCTTTCCCAGCTGAGGGGCTGAGGGGAAGGGGAGATGTCTCTGGTGCTTATGCCAGGAGCAGGAAGACCTGGAGCAGCGAGCTGACCTCCAGGGGTCACGAGAGACTCAGAATTAGGCAGGAACATCAGATGTTGGCAGGGTAGGTGGACTGAGGAAACGCTTAGGTTACCCAAACAGCACTGAGGGCCTGGATGCCCAGCGTCTGCTGGCTCCAGGGACTGAGACCCTGAGGTAGGCACCCCCAGACTGAGATGCTCACAAAGAGGCCCTGACATCACCCCCTCCCCTTGTTCAGCAATGATCAACAGAAGGTCTGGAGGGAGAGGTGAGGGCAGGGCCTGGGTGGGCAGGAGGCTGGGAAGAGCATGAGGGGCCGGGCATTGGGGCAGTGCCATGAGGGGATGGTGGGGGTTCTTTAGCTGCTGTTCTGCTGCTCCTGCTCGCGGATGAGGTTGGCGATGGGGCTGGTGATGCCTCCTATCAAGGTCCAGTACTCGTCAAAGCTGATGCGTCCGTCGTGGTTGGCGTCCAGGTTCTGGATGAGCTTGTCGGCAGCCTTTCGGTTCCCCGTGTCCTGGGGAGGAACCTGGGTCAGCAATGCTGAGAGTGGCAGTCCCACAGAACCCCCTAGGCAGAGGCCCAGGATCTGGCTCAGGCCTGGGTACCCCAAGAGGACAGAGGCTGCCCAAACCGATTTGGCTCAGTGGATAGAGCGTCGGCCTGCGGACTGAAAGGTCCCAGGTTCGATTCCAGTCAAGGGCATGTACCTTGGTTGCGGGCACATCCCATTGGGGGGTGTGCAAAAGGCAGCTGATCGATGATTCTCTCTCATCGATGTTTCTTACTCTCTATCCCTCTCTCTTCCTCTCTGTAAAAAATCAATAAAATATATATTTAACAAAAAAAAAAAAAAAAAGGACAGAGGCCTGGGCAGGGTCAAGACCCTGGTTTGTGGGGTAACTCTGAAAGAACTCAGGGCTTGGGGGTGGGGGTGAGGAGGCCTGGGAGAGACAGAGTCCTTGGGAGGGGCCTTACCGTCAGCATGTGGTTGAGCTCGTGCTGAAGCATCTTTCGGAAGCTGCTCTTACTGATCTTGTTCTTGACCAGGCTGTACTTGGACACATATTTGTAGAAGTTTTCCACCAAAACGACAACCGCCTTCTCCAGCTCTGTGTAGCAGTCCGCCATCACTGCCTCACTCCTCGAGGGGCCTGGGCACCATAAGAATCACAGATGAGAAGAGACCCCCCACAGGCCAAACCTCCTCCCTCGCACACACCCTGGGCCCTGGGTCCTCCTAGCTGACAGGTCCTCCAGAAGGAGGCAGGAAGAGGGCGGCCCAAGGGGGTAGCCCTGGAATGAGGACTATGTGGTTCTTCTAATCCAGGTGTTCCCCAGCTCAACTGCCTCAACAGGTTCTCCCGGCCCTTCCCCAGCCCCGGGCACTGGGCTTGTCAGAGTCCCAGGGAGAGCAAGAGGCTCCCGTGGGAAGAGAGTAAGTGCCCATCCCCTCCACCGTCTGCACACCTGTCTTACCCAGGTCCTCTGCCCCGGGGGGCCAAACACAGCTAGGGACTGGGAGGATGAGCCCAGATGGCCGGGCAGGAGCCATAGTCCCCTCCCCAGACACCAAGATTGACTGAGACCCCAGCCCCAGGCAACGTCGCAGAGGCAAGGACCGAGGCCCTCTGCAATCCATGCGGCCAGGCGCCAGGAGAGCGAGCCCAGACTCCCAGGCCATGGCCGCTGCTAGAAAAGGACAATGTCCGGATTCATTGAGTCAGACATTCTGCAGACCCCCAGCCACACCCCACTAGCCTAGCCTCCCTCGTACCCACCCCAAAACTCAGAGGACCCTTCACCCAATTACCTAAAGAGGCGCCAGGCCGGGTCTGCCCCAGCTGGAGACAGAGCCCCAGCCGGCCAGCCAGCCGGCCAGCCAGCGGCCACACAGTCACCTCCTCACCCCAAGACAAAAGACACTCACATTCCCGGCGGATACAGCTTTCTGAATAACAGGATATGAAGGGACAGGCGGGTCTGCTCTGAGTCGCCGCCCATACCCAGTGCCCCCCCAAGTGAACCCGGGCAATGAGCCTCCACGCACGCCTCCAAGCCCAGGAAGGAGCTGCAGCCGCCCTGCCCTGCCCGTCAGATCCTGGTGAGGGAAGGGCCTGGGCATCCACAGTTCAAGTCCCTGCCCCTCCCACCTGCTCTCCAAGGCCGTATTCCTCTGTGCCCACCGCCCTGCCCTCTCTGCCTAGCTAAAGCCTGCTGGACTGCACCTCCCACGGGAAGCCTGCCCTGACCCCTGCCCTTCATGCCCTCCTCCCCTGGCTCCCATACACTCTCAGTTGGCATTGGCCTGGGCCCACTCCCTGGTACAGCTCCAGCCTTTTCCTGGGTCTTGGAATCTCCCCAACACCAGACGTTCCTGGGACCAAGGAGAGTGTCTGACACACAGCCATGGTGTATTCTGAACTACACAGAAGGACGAGGCTTTTGGGCCATTTTTTAAAATCCTGGATAGAAAAATCTCACTGCTTTATTATTTTAAAATATATATATTTTATTGATTCCTTAGAGAGAGAAGAAGGGAGAGAGAGAAACATTGAAACATTGATGTGAGAGCCAGACATCTATCGGCTGCCTCCTCCCTTTCCCTCCTCCCTTCTCTGCCTTCCCTCCCCCCACAACCCCACCCTGCCCAGCCCCAAGGAGGGATCAAGCCTGAAAGACCGGGCATGTGCCCTGACCCGGAATCGAACCAGCAACCTTTCCGTTGGACTACGCCCAACCAACTGAGCCACTCCAGCTAGGGCTTAAAGCTTTTTAATCTCTGCATTTCTTCCGGCCTGCAATGCTCAGCCCAGTGCTTTGTTCAAGGAAGATGGTCTATAAATGCCCTGCTTCCTTCCAGCCCTGATACCAGGTGTACAAAAGGCTCCTGACCTCACTTCTAATGCCTGTTGGTTTTGTTGGTTTTTGCAAAGCTTTTTTGGAAGGTGGAATGAGACTGGACCAGGATGCAGGAAGGAAGGAAGGAAGGTTGAGAGAGGTCAGGCTGGGCCATCTCTGACTGGAAATCCCTCTCTTTCCTCCCCTGGTCTGTGACCAAAAGGAGGAAGAATGGAACCAGCACTGCAACAAGGATTGTGCCAAGCTTACTCTCAACCAAGCTTTGCGAGTGGCAAGAGAGTTCAGAGAATACCCCACCCTTAACCATCCTAGACCTTGTTCCCTGAGTGAGGGATTTTGTGGAAAATAGGAAGAGGAAATGGAAAGAAATCCAATTTAGGGGATGGCATGTCTTTTCCCCTTTCCCCAAAGCCTGCCCACCCCTCCCACCACCTGTCCTCTTGGAGTCTTGGTTCTCTGACTAGAGGAACCTCCTGCCCATCCTTGACACCTATATCCCTATGGGACTCTGGCAGCCAAGTAGTCAGGATGCTGGTGAGCACCAGGTTGACAATCAGCCACCTGCTGTCAGGTGTGCGATCACCTCAGAGAGCTCTGGATTTCAGTTCCCAGACCTCACCATAGTCTGCTAATCACCCATCCACACCTTCCCCTTCTTTCAAGCCAAATGGCCACCTCTGGAGAGGCATCTGGATAAGTGCCTTTCTGAAGGAAGAATGTCAGAGTGGGATAGTCAGGTGTCTCCACCCTCTTCCGCCCTTCCTCCCTCCCCTGGGGGCTGGGAGACGGACTCTGCCACTACACCCATGTCACAGCCACCTGCTCCTCCTGGCCTGCCCCATCCTCTCACCCAGGAGGCTGGATGGTCCCAGGCACAGGATTGGGGCAGTGAGGGCAGGCCACATGTTGTTCTGTCGGAAGGTAGGTCCTATATTGTCTTTGCTACAGGTAGATCCTGGCCTGAGCATCTGGGGGAGGTACCCATGTCCATGAGAGCCTTCCCAAAAAGTGGGAATGGGGAGGCCACTGGTTCTCCAAAGGACCCCCCCTCACCTGGGGCCCTCAACCCTCCCACCACACTCTCATTGTCTTCTCCTTGACTGATTTCATGGTTGAGCAACCAGAAGCCCCCATCCCCACTCCCATTCCCCTCAGCCCAGCAGGATGACGACTTCTCCAAAAGCATAAATTGCCCTGACACCATGCCATGTGTCTCAGCCACTCCAGCCCCACCCTTCCACCCCCAGGTTCCGGGCCCCACCCCTCCGGGTGCCTCCTAACCATCCCCCATCTCTTCCACTCTGATCTCCTTCCATCTGGAGCCCCGGACATCCACGGTACTCTTCAAAACTCACCTCCCCCTCCCAGCTTCTTGAGTCTTAAATTGTTCCCAAATGTTGGGCTAAATCCCTGTGTTAGAGGAAGCGGAGCGAAAGATGTGAGCTGGGAGAGGCTGGGAGAGGTAGCTGGGGCCTGGGGGAAATAAGGGTGAGACATGACAAACTGAAAACAGACCATGGAGATACCGAGTCCTTAAGTGAGAAGGAAAGATCCCTCCAAGGTAGGGTCTAACTCTAAACTATGGCATAACCCCTAGGTCCTGGGTGAAGGAGCCTCGTAGCTTAAAGATACATTTCTTTGGACACACGAGGGAGGGAATGACTTGCTCCTCGCCTAGGGTCATTCCAGCCTAGAGGTATGAATCTCTAACCTCCCGAATACGGGCATTTGGTCTCAGCCAGCTGAGCTGCCCACGTAGGCTCTTAGTTGGGTTTCATCCAGCTGAGTTGCCCATTCAGGTCCAATCTGAGTGTATTTCTTTCCTACAAATAAATCCTCGCCTGCCTTTGCTGCCATCAAGTTGTCTCTTGTTTGAATCCATGCCTACAACCAAGGCAAGAACTGAGGGCGCAGACCGCTGTCTCTGGCCAGAGGTTATCTCCGCCAGAGACCCCCTTGACCACCACTGGCACCTGGACTCCTCTCTCTCCCAGTTACCATCCTCCCTAGAGCCTAGCCCACTCTCAAGCCTAAATTTGGCATGCCCCGGGCCCCTTCCATCTACCTCAAATTTGTTCACTCTTTTATTCATTCACCATTCATTTGCTTGTCCATTCATTGACTCGTTCATTCATTTATTCACTCATTTGTCCATGCCCTTCCTTAATTCACGTCAATATACAGGGAAGGTGCAATCCGAAGTGGGCTGGGGATGCTTTGCTCTATTTGCAAGGCTGTTCCAAGCTAATCTCGTCAGCCTCCTTGGCCCCATTCTCTGCTCTGCCTTCTCGTGGTCTGTTCCCAATTCCAGAGGCTACTCTCTCACCCAAGTGCCCCTGCCTCGCCCTCCCAGGACTCACTGCATCTCATCACACACATGGACACACAGAGGGAGGAACTCCGACATTCCTGACCCCCTCTACGTGGGTAACCTAGCTACCTTCCACTCACTTGTGATTTTAGAGAATGTAGCTGGAAGGAGAAGCTTGCTCCCCTAAATTCTTTTCTGGATGAGTAAGCTGGCTAGGGAAAGGCTGAGCCCCCTCATCAGCACCCTCCCCCCAGAGCTCGTGCCCTCACCCCCACCTCCCACCCTGCCCGGACAGGGCTGGGCAGGCGAATGCTCCCACAGTGCAGGTGGCTCCACCAGACAAAGCCAGTCAAGCCGGGACCTGCCTTGGTCCTGAGGTGGAGGAGAAGCTGCCCAGACTCCTGGCCCCTGGCCCAGAGCTCCCAGGCGCCCCCGGGATGTCACCCAGGTTCCTCCGTGCCATTTGCCCTCCCCAGGAAGGGCTCCGAGAGCACAATGGGGCCTGCGTCCATCCGGGGACCTTCCTGAGTCCCAAGGTGAAGCGAGCCACCTATCTCCCCCTTCAGGCTCTCAGGCTCCCTGGACCCCATCACCTCTCCCAGAACACGGCTCCCGGAGGCCAGGGGGGCCTGGAGCGAGGGTCTGACCACCCCCAAACCCCACCTGCACGCGTTTGCCCTTTTTCTGTTAGGAAAGGATCGGAGCAGCTGCTGCGGGCAAAGCTCCCAAACACCCTTCCCGGTGGCCCGGCCGCTGGAGAGGAGCCCGGGCCGCTGCTGGGCTGGGGAGGGGGTCTCACCGCTTCACCCGCTCCTCCGAAGGCCTCTCCAGCCCCTAATCTCACCAGAATGCTCCATTCGCAAACAAGCATTTTGGGGAAATTAACCATTAACGAAACCTCCCAGCCCGGTCTCTGGCAGGGCCCTCCCTCCGCAGGCCCCTTTCCAGCCCCCTCTCCCGGCCTCACAAGCCCGTGGGGGCCGCTCCGAAAGTCCCCGGCCTCCCAGGACGGGCCCGGGGTGCTCACCTGCCTCCTCGGTGCAACTCCTCTCCAGCAAGGCTCTGGGGCCTGGGCTCTGGCACCGCCAAGCAGCAACCCTCACTTACCCCGCCAGGACTCCTCCCCGCCGCGCTCCCAGAATGTGTCCCACTCCCTCCTTCCCGGCCCGGCTGAGCTGGCTCGGTGGGGAGGTAGTCACTGAGCTCCCTCTTGACTTGGCCCTGGGGTTGGGCCCTCGTTAAAGGGATACACACCTTTTTTAACACCCCTCCACCCCACCCCAGGAGGAGCGGTGGGAGCTGGCATTCTGTCAACCCCACCCTCCCAGCCCCGCCTGACAGAGCCTACCTGGTGGAGAGAGGAAGGGAAGGACCATCACCTGCCCTTCTCACCGAGGTCACAGGGAGCTCCGTTTCAGGGGCTCCCAACAGACGTGCTCCGTCTGCATTCTGGGCCCGAGGGGCTGGCCACAGACACTTCCCTGTCCTTGGGATGTCAGGAGGAAGGATGCCTGATGTGTGCGCTCAGGTCGGAAGGCAGGCACCTGGGCTACCACCTCCAGGTCAGACCACCTGGAGCCCTCCTGACCCCCATCCCTGGGACTGCTCTCAGGTAGCAGGAGATTCCTCTGGAAACACCCTAGCCGTTCCCCACGGGACCCACGGCCAGTTCCACAGCCCCGTGAGGGGACGCATTCACCTACTCTGACAGCTCCCGGGCTCTCGCTGTGCCAGGCTCTCTGCTAAGTGCTTTGCATGCTGCCTCAGATTATCCTAACAATCCTCTGGGGGATGGACTGGCAATGCCCCCATTGTACAGAGGAGCCGGATACTGAGCGCAGGCCCACATTCCCAGAGATTCGCATGGAGGCCATCAGCTCCGAATTTGCCTCGCTCATCACCCCGGTTCATACCCTCTCCTGTCAGAGTGCCAGCCCCTGGCAAAGAGGCGCTCGGCCCTCCCAGAGGACCAGGTCTCCCACTTTTAGGGCCTGGCACCATCCTCAGCCCAAAAATCCATGTGCCACCTGATGGCTCTGCCATTCACCCCAACCACCTTTCACCCATGGACCCAGGGACCCCGGAGGAAGGCATGCAGACACGAGACATCTTTCACTTTTTTCTTTTTATTTTTCTTCTTTTTTTTTATTAATCAAACGATACAAAACAACCATCATTCTTTAAATGCCCAACCACCCAGCTGGTTCTCACTCCCCAAGGTCACACCCTCCTTAGCCTGTTTCCCCCTCCCCACGGCTCTCCCACTTCCCCTGCCCTCGTCCAAGGACAGTTTCAGGAGGAGGTTGGAGGCAGTGCTGTAGGCAGGAAGATAAAGCATCGGACCGACCGCTCGTTCTCGGAGACCTTTTTTAATACCAAATATCCAGCCCTATTCCCAGTCCCTTTCAAATCAGTTCCCCAAGTCCAGCTCCTCTCTGCCCAGCACCCACTACCAAATGGCGTGGCCCTGACACCATCCTCACCCCTGCACATCCTCCCTGGCCCCAGCCCGCCCCCCTGAGCCTCCCTCTGGTGGGGATTCCTGGACCTTTTAGCTCCACGGAGTCCCAGGGAGGAAGGGCAGGGACCCCAGGAGGGGCCGCTAGGACCTGAACCTTGCAGAGGTGAGACAGGAGCAGGCTGGGGAACAGTGGGGTGACAGTCAAGAGAGTTTTATTTCCAGGCCCACAGTCTCTAAGGTCCCCTTTCCCCAGCATCCCCCGCCCCCAAGAATCCCCAGGGAAGGCTCTCAGCTCCCCCGGACTGGCTTCTCCAGCTTCACGCTCTTGGCCGCTTCTCCAATCAGCTCCCAGAAGCTTCCGAACTCCAGTTTAGAGTTGTTGCAGCTGCCCAGGTTGGCGATTCTGTCTTCCAGCCCGCAGTTGTTCTGGGGAGAGGAAAGACACGACAGCTCAGCAAGCAAGCGCCTTCCCATCTTCCTACCCCACCCTGCCCAGGGGCCGAAGCAAGACTTGAGCCTCCAGGCACTGGCTCAGGGTAGCTAGTGCCAGGGGCTGTGGCTGGGTGGTGGGGCCGTGGGGCATTCGCTTGGGGAGGTCAGTGTCCTGCCTGGGGTGGGGTCAACCCCCCTCAGTACCGGCATCAGGTGAGGCAGCTGCTGGGTCACCAGGTTCTGTAGCTCGGAGGGTGTCAGCGTCTCCTTCCCGCCCTCCACCGAGTACTGGTGGAAGTTCTTGATGAGGGTCTCGATGGCCCTCTCCACGTCACTGAATTCCTGGGCATCCTGAGGGTGAGGGACATCACCCACGTCAGGGAGGCCCCACCCCACCCTATGACACCCTGCTTTCCCTGGGAGCCTAGCCAGGCCAACAGGGCAGAAGACACTGGAAGGCACCCAGGTCCCACCCACTCCACAGTCCGACATCCAGCCCTCACCCCCACTGGCCCCTGCCCTGAGCCACAGGTTGGACAAGGCTTCCCCACCACCACCCACAGCCCCCCCCCCCCCCTTCCCGGCAAGGCAGGTCTCAGCACGTGGCCCAGGCATCCTCGTCCTGGGAGGCCTCCCACTGCATCACCCTGCGTGGGCACCGGAAAGGGGGTTCGGGTCTCAGAGCCAGGGGTCTGGAGGGTAGACCAAGGTCAAGGCGAGAGTGCAAAAGTCAGCAGGGGAACCCAAACCCTCAGGGTAAAGGAGAGGAGAGTGGGAGCAGAAAGACAGGCCAGGAATGAATGGGCCCACCTCGGCATTGGCTGACCGACACTGTCCCATGGTGCCTGGTGTGCTTGGTCCTTGGGTTGAGAGTTGTGTAGTCTACAGCCTGCCCCGGAGGAGCCGATGGCTCATGATCTACGTGGCGGTGAAGGGAAATCCCAGCATTTTTCAACTACCCCCTCAGGCTCCACCCCAGATATTCTGGCCTCATCTAGGGGGTCACAAGGCCCCACCCCCACCCAGGCTGCAGGACAACTCCCAGGCCACCCCATTTAGAGAGAATCCCTTAGACCTCATCTTAGCTGTACTCCTTCCTCTTCCTCCAACCACCCACTTCTGTTTCAGGCACACATACCAGCCTCCAGGGCCTGGCCCCCAGCCCCTTCCCTGGCAGATCAGAGTAGAATAGTCTAAGCATGTCCTCTGGACAGGGGGCAGCCCATTTTGAGTGAAAATTCCCTGCGTCTCCTTACCTGCTGACACCTCAGACAGGACCGGATGAGCCAGCTAACCTGAGCTCAGCTCTTATACCTGGGGGAAGGGAGGGGAGGCAGGGAGAAGGGAGGGGAGATGGAGGGAAGGGAAGCCAGGCAGGGGGCTGGGCCTCATCCCTAAGCCACCCCTGCGATTGCAGCTGCCAGGGCTATGAGCCAGCCATGTGGGCTCCACCCTCCATTGGCCAGAGCTCCAGAGCCCGCCCCCGTCTCTGCCAGGAAGAGGGAGCCACAGGGGGCTGGGTCTGCTTGCCCCTGGCCCCAGACCAGGAGGCAGGGTTCCGGGGAAAAGATAGGGGAAGAGAGGTGGGGAAAGGAGAGGGGGAGGGCTTGGAAACACTATAGGGTCGAGCTTGGGAGGAAAGACCTGGAGGGGCTGGAGGGCAGGGAGGTGAAGGGGCCCTGAGCTAATAACCAGAAGTGGAGGCTGAGGAAAGCAGGGCTGGTGGCACAGAGAGAATGAGGGACACGTGGGCTGAGAGGTCTTCAGGGACCTCTCTGTACTTTGATGTCACACACACACACACCAGGGCCAGTTGGATCAAAGTGGCCAAGTCCCAGACCCCAGCTTCCTCCATCCTGGTGGCAGAGAGATGAATGAGGACTGGATGGGAAGAAGGAGCCAGAGAGGGGCAGCCTCGGTGCTGTCCTGACTTCCCTTCAGCTCCCCTCTACCAGCGTGCACATGTGCAAGGCTAGATGAGTTACCTGGCAGCTAACGACCTCTCCAAACTGGTTGGGCCGCCTGCTCCTCCCTCACTCCCTCATGCCTTTCCTACCTCAGCGGCTCCTCAGCAGCCACACACACACACACAATCCTCAGCAACCACATACACACACACACACACACACACACACACAATCCACAGCAACCACACACACACACACACACAATCCATAGCAACCACATACACAATCCACAGCAACCACACACACACACACACACACACACACACACAATCCACAGCAAACACACACACACACACACACACACACACACACACACACAATCCAGTCCTGAGGATGCATCCCAGGGCGCAGATCCAGGGACTCAGCCCGATCCCAAAGGCTGTCCTCACCTGATGGGGAGGAGGAAGGGAGAAGGGCAGGGGGTCAGGGCAAGGAGCTCCTGGGCTCCTTTCCTAAATTCTGAGATCAGAGCAAACCTCCTGTTAAAAAAAATAATACAGCCGAAATCGGTTTGGCTCAGTGGATAGTGTCAGCCTGTGGACTGAAGGGTCCCGGGTTCGATTCTGGTCAAGGGCATGTACCTTGGTTGCGGGCACATTCCCGGTGGGGCGTGTGCAGATGCTGCTGATCGGTGATTCTCTCTCATCGATGTTTCTAACTTTCTAACCCTCTCTCTTCCTTTCTGTAAAAAAATCAATAAAAATATATTTAAAAATAAATAATATAATATAATATAACATAACATAATATAATATAAAATAAATGGAACGACTTTAAAATGGAGTCCAGAGTGCCTGGCCGGTATAGCTCAGTCGGTTGAACACCATCCCATGCACCAGGAGGTTGCTGGTCCGATTCCGGGTCAGGACGCGTGTCAGATGGATTTCAGGCTCCATTCCCAGTAGGAGGTGTGCAGGAGGCAGTGGATAGATGTTTCTGTCTCTCCCTCTCCCTTCCTCTCTCTGAAACCTGTAAAACTCCCCCTTTTTTTTTTTTTTATAGAGTTCAGGGTGCCGTTCCAGAGGAACTGCCATGTTTATCTTACTCTTCAAACCTTTTAAAACTGGGCAAAATAACCTTTGGACTGGGCCTAACTGCCCTGTATCCCAAGCAACTGTTTGCAAAGATAACAAGAAAGCAGACGAATAATTGAACACATTCCTTAGAATTCGCATCGCGATGTTAGTTTACTGCACCTATAGAAATTCCTGCCTTAGCTTATTAACCCCACTAAAAATTCCTGGGGGGTGGGGAACGGGGTGGGCTAGAAGGGGTCAATGGGATAGAGGGGGGTATATGTAATACTTTCAACAATAAAGATTAAAAATAAATTTCCTTCATCACTCTAGCCAGGTAGTTCAGTCGGTTAGAGCAGTAGTCGGGAAATTGCGGCTCGCAAGCTACATGCGGCTCTTTGGCCCTTTGAGTATGGCTCTTCCACAAAATACCACGTGCGGGCGCTCATGTACAGTGCGATTGAAACTTCGTGGCCCATGCGCAGAAGTCGGTTTTTGGCTCTCAAAAGAAATTTCAATCGTTGTCCTGTTGATATTTGGCTCTTTTGACGAATGAGTTTGCCCACCGCTGGGTTAGAGCATGTTCCTAATACACCACATTGTAGGTTCGATCCCCTTCAGGGCACATACAAGAATCAACCAACAAATAAATAAATAAATAAATAAATAAATAAATAAATAAATGGAACAACAAATCAATGTTTCTCTCTCCCTCTCTCTCTCAAATCAATAAAAATAAGTAAATAAATAAATCCTTCCTTCTCTCCACCTGTAATTATTTCCCTTCCCTTTCTCAAAAATATCCCTAACCTCTTGATAGGATTATCTGGGTTTCTGCCCAAATCAGTGCTTCCAAAAGAATGATTCCTCTGGGTCTCAAATAAGAGCCTGTCGCCTCACTCTGTCCTTTTATTTTTAGGGGACCACTCTAAGGCCCCTTCTAGCCCTTCGCTGTGCTTGTGGCCTCGGTGAGGGGCATCTGTCAGGGTCCCAATGAGACCCTTCTAAGAGTGTCTCATTCTGAGAGTTCCCCCTAGAGGCATCATTCTGGAGACCCTCTGACAGTCTCTCAATCTGAGGGCGTCTCCAAAAGTGCCTCAGCCAGAGCCCCTTCGAGGAACTTTCCGGAAACCCCTCCTAGGATCTCACTGTGGGAGAGCCCTCCAGTGTGGGAGCCACTCTGGGGTATCTCACAGACAAATGAGCCCTGGCAGTCCCAGTGTGGGGGTCCCTCTCCGTTTGGAGTCCCTTAGAAGGTCTCCATCTAGGACCCTTGCATGGTGCGAGGTAAGAAATGCGCATGCGCCTCTGCGTTAATAGCTGCCCCAAATGGACGTCTGATGGTAGTGCAGGAACTGCCCCTGCAAGTCCGCACCCACTGGGCTGCCCCACCCATGCTCCCTCTGGTGGCGGGCAGTGCAAGCCACAGGCCACTCAAGCCAAGGACGGAGAGAGGGGCCCTATGGTGCTCTAATGTTCTGCTTCCTGCAGCACCTCTGCCCCGTTACCCACCCTCAGTCTTCGAACCAGAAGCTGTGTCCACCCTTCTGCCTCACCCCTGCTCTGGAGGGAGCGGGGAGGGAAGGGAGGGCCCAGCGTGTCAAGCACCCATCCAGAGAGGATGCCAGTGCAATCAGAGGCTCTGGAATTCCAATCCAGTTCCACCTGTTCCTGACTTCATGGCTTCACCGCTCTAACATCTGGTTCTTCCTCTTCAGAGCAGGACTTGCAAATAGAACCGACCTCAAAGGGCTGTGAGAAGTAACTAAGATAATGCAAGAAAACCTTTAGCACGGTGTCTGGCACATAGCAAGGCACATAGCAAGCCCTCGGCATATTCACTAGTATCCTTATCATCCAAGGACGCAAACCCCAGAATAAGAAACATGGGAGCCGAGACCATGCCCCTGAGTCCTAAGGGGCACCAGTAGGATCTGAGTCACCTCCCCTGCCCCATAGATCTGTCTCTACCGTTCATATATTCATCCACCATTTACTATTTGTTGAGCAGCCTAACCTGAGCATAAGACCTAGGTGCTAGATGCTGCAGAATATTTGAAGATGAGTCACATTCCCGGTCCTCAAAGAGCCCATAATTTTGGACCCACCCTCAGGTCAGAGCAGAGCTTTCCCACCCCCTAGACTCTAGAGAAGAAACCAGGGTGGGCGCGAATAAGAAGCACTCGTGTGTTAGAAGGCTTTATTTGGGGGGAGTGGAGCTCTGCCTGGTCCTGCTCATCTTATCCCAGGCAGCCGGACTTCTTCTGAGTCTCCTTCTCCTTTCTCATCTCTTTGGCCAGCTCCCCAATCAGCCTCCAGTACTCATTGAACCGGAGCTCTGAGTCCCCATTCACATCCAAGCTCTTCATCTTCTCATCCAAGGAGCCCACGTCCTAAGGAGACACCAAAGGGAAGGGGGAGGTTAGAAACGATGGCTCTGGAGACAGAGAGGGAAGAATTGCTAGTGGCCATTCCCTTCCCTCGGGGAGTGTGAGGACCTAAACCATACCTCCGAGATGAGGCCCCGACTCCAAGGGAGAGGAGCACAGGACGGCGGGGACTGGATTCCTAGTGTTTGCTGGGGTGTCAATACTCCCGCCACGGCAGACTATGAACCACAGACGGTGGATGCACACAGAGCTGGGAAGAGATGCCCACCATGGGCCCTCACCCGCAGGTGAACATGGGTTCTGAGCACCACTGCACCGGCCCTGGGGTTTGTCCAAGGATATTCGAGGAGCCCTTGTAGGCATGGACCCATTCTGATCCTCCTCAAAGCCTCCTCAGGCCACCCTCCTCCTCCACAGAAAGCTGGAGACGGTCAGCAAGGTACTGCTCATTTGCATAAACCTGACGTCTTCTCATTTTTCCACTTGAGTCACCAGCCTGGTAAATTGGGGGAAAGGGGGATGGCAGAGATACAAGGTGTTTTCCTAGAGGGCCCTTGACTAGGTCTCTCCTGACAAGCCTGGGATATCAAAGGATGCTGTAAGCCGGCCCTTTATGATCAAAGGATTTGTTGCCAGATAAACAATCACAACCAAAGAGTGGGCCGCTTAACAACGCATCCGTGTCAAACCAGAGAAGGGTGCCTCGGGCACAGCTCGATGCTAAATATCTGAATCAATACTTGGATGAAGACAGGGAAGATCTGCCTGTTCAATAGATGGCACAAAGCTAATCCATACAAGAGCTACACAAGACTTTTTGAAAAGCTACAATCATGCTTAATTGTAGAATACTGTAAGCATTGCCAAGGGAAGGCAAAGATGCCCAGTGTGATACTATATCGGGAGGGTGAGAAAACATACAATTAGTCAAGAGAAAGAAATAAAAGGCATAATGAGTATTGGGAAAGAAGGGGAAAATTCACTTCTAATTATCTCAGCAATTACATCATTGTAGACCTACAGAAAAAAAAAAAAGAAAA